CGAACATAATGCTGGGGGGTACCCAGCGATGGACTAGCATCCCATCCAGGGGGGAGTAGAAATACTCCTAGTCGCTTCATGCTACAGAAACCAGAATAAGCTCCAGCCTGGTGGGCCACTTGGCTCGTATGCAGACTTTACCTTCACCTTTCAAATTGTTACTTGTACTTTTCAACAGGATCTGAGTTCTGCGTATCAACAGTGATGAGGAGGGGAGGGGCAAAACTGGTCACGATAGCCATAAAAACAATAGGAAAGAGCTCTGACAAAACAAAATGTCTCAACACTTTTGTTGCCGATTGAAGGTGTGCTGGAAAGCTGCCGGTGGAAATGTTGCACTTTGATTCCTAAATATTAAGGCTACTGAAGGTAGCGGAAGTCACATTCTGATTAGCTATTCCAATAGGCTGTAGGCAAAAATACGCGAGTATGCTATACAGTTGTTGGTCGTGAACGAAACTCATAGAAGTTAAATCAGCCTTTTGTCCTTCCAGGAGCGAATTGCCCGTTATGTGTCGATGATTCCTTTTATATCTGACTCCGCTGCGTTTCCTGACCTCTGCGATATCTGGGCCACATCCGAGGTACGTTAAGTGTCGTTCTTAAGAAAACGTTCCTTAAAAGGCTCAAAACAGTTTCCACCACTCTCCAAGACTTGAGTGAGTTGAGTGGTTATAATGACCCATCAAAATCTAAGACTTGGAAAGTGCTGGAACCTGTTTGGAGCCACCTTAACTGCATTGTGGGCATGAAACTTCTCCTTTCCAAGCTGAACTTGGGAGAGTCAATCGTGGTTCCCACAGGTCAAGAAAAACTCAGGAGAAAACTATAGTTTCTGGAAACTTAACTCTCTGCCTTTATGACGACCTGTTCAAGGGCAGAGGATTTTATTTTAAGGATGCTGCAAGGTTTGGATATATTGATGAGTGTTTAGATGGTCAGTGTAGATTGTTTTCTACAAAAGAAATTTTGAAGGCGAGAAGACTTCGTTGTTTTAATAACCAGTCTTCTTATGGTCTTGTTGTGACCCCTTAACTTGGCATAACTGCCTAAAATAACGCCACCTTGGCCATTGAAGCATTAGGAACCTCGTAAAATATGGAATTGCCTAAACGTCATTCTCTGGAGTGGATGACACCGTCTTTCGACTCGACTTGGCCCGTAATTTTCCAAAGATATGATGTACGCTGTCCACACGATGACACTTCACTTGATGTCTTTTGGAGTGGTCGTGGTCGTGCATGTATTCCCGTGTGCTTGTGACATTGTTCACATGTACTCAGTCGGTCAATACGAATAAGAAACTCTGGGTACTTGAATAAAGCTTTACGTTCTTTTCGTAGGAATTCCTTCGCATGTTGGCGGGGGATGAAGAGGAACATGCTGTCTTGCTCTGTAACTACTTCCTGCATATCGGTAAAAGAGCTTATGTCGTCCTCGGAAGGGGAATACCTGAAGGTTTGTATGAACACACTTATTTTTACCGCAAGTCTGTTTAGTTGTAGGCGCACCAATCACACAAAAACGTGGCTGATGATCTTTGTTCTGACAATTAGTCTCCATCGCAGACGTTATTAGTGTCGTCACGCAACGCTTCTCCTCACTAAAGCGTTGCGTGACGACCCTAATAACGGCTGCAAAGGAGAGTATCTGACGAAGGGCTATCTCTCGAAACGTCTTCTTCATAAATTCGGTAAATTTGCCTTTGCCAACTTCAAGTTGTGAAATAGAAAGTTGTTGAGCTGTGCATGTATACAAGGTGGTAAATTGTAAGTGCAGTTGAAAACCTTTTGTATGAGTACTTACTGACTGTGGTTCTAATAAATTAATTGAACTTGTTAATACAACACCAACATGGGACTTTTTGAAATTAAAGCATGAAAGTCATATGGGAATATTTTCATGTGTAGTTTATTGTGCTATAAAAGGGTTAAATTAGAGCGCTTGGAAATATAATTCTAACTAGAATTATATTTCAGGTTCCACGGCATATGTACTGACTTTGGATGGATCTCCAACACTATGGAACGCTCACTCGGGTCAAAAATACGATGTACAGGACGCTAACTGTCCTTTGAAGAGCATTGGGTGTATCATCAACCACGAAAATGTATGTCTATAATAAAGACTTCCTGGTAATTTTCTTTGTTTTTATCACCTGTCTTCGTGGTAATGTAATGGTATTTTAGCGGGGAAAAGGATGTCGCTCATAGAATTGCAGGCTTTCCGTTCGTTCCATGATGTCGTTCTATTATTCAAACAAGAAATACTCTAACTACGTTCGAAAAATGTCAGCCCAATAAAAATAAGTTCGCAATTTTAATAATACCCTCTTCAACCTTTTGGCAGAACAGTCTCATTCCCAGCCGTTTCTCGGGATGTCACGCAATCCTACAAAAACGGCTGTGCAGGAGACTAGGTAGAAGTGGGCTAGTTATCGACTTGTCTGCTGTGAATATCAGTAATATAAAGTATGTTGTATCTCCTGCTGTTAGATCTGGGGTAACGTTCAGCCGTCAGAGGAACCTTATAGACTCTTATTTGACTTGACCAAAACCAACTCGTGGCAGCCTTTCTTTACAAAGTCATATCCAAGACCAGCTTTGCTCAGTAACCAGGTACTATCTATTCTGTGATTTTTTGAGCTGAATATGATGTATTGTACGTATCAACCATTAAATGTTAGGTTTAGAATTTTGCTTTCCCCACGTCCTCCACTTTACAGCTTTCCTTCCCTTCTATTCCATTCCCTCCTTTTCCCTTTCTTTTCGTTTTTATCCCTTCTTTCCTTTTTCCCCTTTATTCCCTCTCTGATCCTTTCCCCAAGTTCAGCGTGTGTAGCAAAGTTCGTTGCATAATTATAATTTTCCAAATAATGAAAGCAATACCCCTCTTGCATTTGTAGCTTTTGCATCGGTTAGGAGCTCAGTTATTTTGGCCACGTACAAAGTTACCTTTAAATTGAAGGAAACCTGAAAATAGTATCTACTAAGATAGAAACACACCAAAGAGATAATAGTAGACCATGAAGGAACAAAGATAGTTAAAGATGAAGAAGATTAACGCGGATTACAAACGACGAACCTGGTAAATTTATGCTAAACCTTTCAAGAGGTGCAAACCGTAACGTAGCTCTTTTATTCACATGATTTTAAAGTTGTTTTTTGATCGTGTTTGTTTGCTGTTACAGAGAGAAACTCTTGAATACAAGCGCGTGGATCAGGAATACGTGAAAGGGTTGCAAGAGAAGTAAGAGAACTATTTATCAAAGAAAGTTTGCATTTTTAGGCTCTATACTATTAGAGTCATTTTTGGGCTTAACAGTTTTGTTTGCAATTTCTAGGGTTGAAAAGATGTTGCGCGACAAAATAATGACATGGAGACCTCGCTTTGTCACAAGATGGAACAGGTGCGTAACTGTGTTAAGTTGTCGTTGACGTTCTCCATCAGGTTGGGTCTATGGCTAATTTGTCACTTGTACAGTTTTTTGGACAGAAAGGGGTGTAGAGATTATGTGCGTGAACTTCTTTGATTGATGAATGTTGGTTACATCTTGTTAGGTATTGCACTCAAGCCTTCAGGAGTCTGTTAGCCAAGTAAGTTGGATACATATATATGATATGTAACCTCTACAAATCAATGGATACTACTGAACCGCGGCTGTGAAAGTTATCTTGTCTGCAGTGTGACCTAAAACGCGGCAAAATCGCGCTGTATTGTGCTATTGTGAATGCCCGACTAACCATGGGATATCATTTAACTGCTAGCGGTCCACCATTGTACGGGGGCGCGGTGGCCTCATCGTTAATGAGATCGTCGGATCGAGCAGTGCAGGTTCGAGCCCTGGCCGGGGACATTGTGTAGTGTTCTTGGGAAAAACACTTTATTCTCACAGTGCCTCTCTCCACCCAGGTATATAAATGGGTACCGGCGAACTTAATGTGGGGGGAGGGGGGGAGTTAACCTTGCGATGGACTACCATCTCATCCAGGGGGGAGTAGAAATACTCCTAGTCGCTCCATGCTACAGAAACCGGGATAAGCTCGGGCCGATGAGCCACTGGGCTCGTATGCAGACTTGACCTTAGTCCACCATTGTACTCATTTTGGATTTATTACTATCATTTTCCTTTTTATGTCGTTTTACCCATATAAGCCCGAGTGCATTTGATCATTTTGTCATGAAATTTGTGCTAATTTTATTATTTTTGAAAGGCCGTTCGTACATAAATTTCCCCTCTCGTTTATTTCCCTTCTTGCGCAATGGTCAGTGAGAGAATTTATAGACTGCTTGCGGGCTAGGGTACGGTTAAGCTCTTGTCAAGACCAGCTCTTTGGCCAGGGGAAGGATTATCGACGATTTTCATAAACCCTTGTGAAGTACACACGAAGAATTTCCGATAAGTGTTGTCCAATGAGTAGCTTGCTTCAGCTTTTAGCCCTAAGGGGTATTATTGGTTTGCGCGTCACGCCATCTCTGCCATGTTTGAGATTTCCAGTTCACTCGGGTTTGTGTTTGTTCCAAAAAGATGGCCGCTATGTCTTGTTAGTGCCATTTGAATCTTAACTGTTGATCACAAACGATCAATGCGCCACGTTGCTTGAAATATCAGCCAGGCCCAGGGATTTTTTTTTTTTTTTGACGCATTTAATGTTTTGTTTTTGTTTTTGTTTTTGTTTGTAGCATGGAACAAAGTGTTGGCCAGGCTGTTAGTATGAATCACGCAGCTGAGTTGGATCAAATTCTTGCTTCTTACAAGGTGTGTGTTGACTTGATTATTCTCTTATGTCAGGTGGCCTGGGTCACAAATATGTTATGCACCTCATTTCTGTAGGAATTAAATGGTCGTTTTCTCCTAAACTAGTTCGGTTACCCCGCTATTAAATGTACAAATTTAAATGACATTCGGTTGATTGCACTATATCGCAATTTTACGATAAGCTAAAAATTCTGCTTTGAAATATAAGTAATTTTTGTTTTCCCTGAAATTCCAGTTTGCCTTTCTGATTACCGGGGTTCTTGACAAAAACCTTGCGGATGGTATATTCACTGCAACTGCCATCCATATTGCACAAACAAGAGCATTACCAAGTGGGCCAAGTTGTAGAAAATTTAAAGTATTCTTTTTTTTAAGGTATTCTCTCTCTCTTTGTTTTTTTGTTTTTTTTTTGGAAGAGTTAAAACAGAGCGTGATGTATAACACGCTCTAGCCCCTTTAAAGGAAGCTCTAAACATGTGAGGCTTGCCTGTTAAACAAAGCTTGTTCTTAAAGAGGCTATCCCACTTAGGCACTACGTATTTACATGCAGGTATATATTTTCCTGTTTTAATCTTTTCAGCTGTCCGGATTTCCAATCAACATGTCCTTTACTGAAATGCCTCCTGTATCGGAAGCGGTATTCAGCACTGGGGTACACACAATAGAGGACCCGGATGTAGAATTCGCTTTAGCTGTTCACATACACCCGTACCCTCAGGGGGTGTTTTCTCTTTGGATATATGTGGGCACGCTGCGGAGAAAAGCTGGCTATTGAGCGTGACTATCGTCATATCGTTCTGAGGGCGGATGATTGGACAGTCGACAGGACAACTGATCTCCCTAAGATACTAGTCCATTTAAGGAGCCATCACATTTGTTGTTCATGCGAAAGGCGGTCCTTTGAATATCTTCCAGTCACCTGCCATAGTAACTGAATGAACAGGAACTCTGGTTTTTGCCAAGGTCCAGGGCATTTGTGACGTTTTTTGTTTTTTTCCAACCAGTTATTGTGAAGTCTCGTTGAATACGTTACACAAAAAATGCGAAGAGTTTTTCCTTTATTTATGTTGAGTACCTAACAATATTTCACTTATAATTATGGCTTATGTTTGCTGTCGATATAACGCGCGCTTTGACTGGCTAATGTTATGGCGCAATTATCCTTTAATGCCCACGGGCCTATTGCGGGCTTGCAAAAAAACAAAACAAAACAAATCAAAAAGCCATATAATAAGCAACTTATTAACCTCGAAAGTTCGGTGCGGCTTGGTCTCTGTTGGAAATTTTCCCGTAAAGACCTCACTCTCGGTTAATAAGTAGTAAGTAACAACCTGTAGGTATGTACAACAGAGGATGAAGGGTAAGACAGTTAATCTCCCATATAGGCCTTACTCTTAAGGTTATCTATCTCGAGTTATTTTTAGATAAGACAAGACGACTAGTTCTCCAGCAGATAACGTTATCACGCGCAGTGAAATAGGAAAACTCCTAATAGTTTCTAACAGTTAGAAGATTGCACAAGTACATTCTAATTGATTATTCAAGCTGCAAGTGTTGAGCCGTGTGTATATGTTATTGATTGTAAATAACACTTTTCTAAACGTTTATGGTTTGTTCACCGTGTTTATCGTTCGTACATGTTTGTATATAGGACGTTAATTAAGATCAATATACAGTGGTCTCCAGCGGGCCACAAAAATCCGGCCGTGTTAACGGGGTGGCCGTAGTAAATGGTTTTTTTTTAAACAAAATCCCCGAGGAGACAAAGTTCGATGCAAATATTCAGAGTCCTGGCTGCAGTTAACTAGCGCTAATGAACTCTCACTGAATTTCCTTCACAAAAAAAGCTCCCTTAACTACTTCCCTCAAAATCTTGGTAGAAACCTCTACATAAAATCACCTATGAGCTGAAATAATATAAACAATATGGTGTCCACATGGATATGAAATAATTTTGTTTCAATCGTCATTCTGTAGATATTGTATAAAGATCTCTCTGAAAATTGTAGCATTGCTAACAACTAGATTTATTATGTCTGGTGCTTATACTGACAAGTGCAGTGCAATTTTTATGTAATTGTGCGGACTAAGCATTAAAGTCTGTGCCTTATAAATTATTATTATTAAGTTATTAATAATTATTTAGTGTAGCTTAATTTATTCGGCCTTTTGCTTTTACAAAACTATGATATTTGTATTAAAAATAACTTCAACGCAGTTTGAATTATTTGTATTGCTACTCGCAAGACGTTGATATATAATTAACTAAAAATAGAAAAGCGAAGATCATGATGAGTTGACATTTTTTGAAAGTGTTAGCTGTTTGTTACTTAGTAAGTGCGCTAACGGAACAAACACAGTAAGTCGTATCAGAGTCGCTATGTTTTACTCCAGGGCCAGGTTATTCAAAACCAAGGATTAGCGAGAATTTTGATTTCAGTGTCATAACTTTTCGGTGAGCTTGTATTTTTATAACCCGGTCCAGGAGATTGCTATAGAGGCTTAGGCTGGACTTCACCTGTGAAACAGAATGTGCGTAACAGACTCTAATCTCATCCTAAGTATCGGTGCGTAGTATTCAAAACCACGAGGAGATAAGTTTGGCTAGATTTCCAGCCGTTCTGGGAAGCCCATTTGTTATACTCGCAACACCAAGGATGCAAAATCACTGTAAAATTTAGGCAGTCCAATATTTATCCGTTTAGTGCGGCACTACCTAATTATATTGCACAGTCAGATCTGTGATTTACATAATAATATTAAGCGGAAAACTGCTGCTTTAAATCTGATAGTAGATGTGCCACGCTTTAGGATTTTTAAGGGAGCCATCGTTTGTTCACAGCTCCGGGTAAACACGCTTTCCTCCAGAAAACAAGCAAGCAAATTTAAAAACTGTGAGTGGAGACAACTGATCTAGTTAGTGAGAGGAGCCATTACTCGCTCTACACCTGGTTGTGGTAATTGGTCAAAAGGCGCCGACAATATCGGTGATATGCGAATGAAGAAAAGTAAGACGGCAAAATCATGATATCTCCATAAACTTAGTCTTTTGAAAAGTAAAACTCCGTTAAAAGTGTTCCAGTTAGCCAATTACGGAAATAAACGTAACTGTTGTGGTTGCAAATGGTTTCCGATTGACCCTAATGATGATTATTTGCAAAAGAAAAAAAAACAGTTATTGAAAGAGGTACTTAAAAAGACAGAAATAGAGTAATGACGTGAAATTGATCGAGTAGACGTTTCTTCCCGTTCGATTTAGAACGAAACCCCAAAGCTGGTTCAAGTTTCGGGCGAGATCAGTAGCTTGATTTTGGATTGTTGGGTTTTTCCACCCTTGATCGCCAACTAAAGGTAACACGTCCATCACACAAAATGTTAGATGAAAATGTTTCGCGTAGATCAGATATTTTTATCCAACATTTTCTGTCTAAACAATGATCGTATATATAGAAAAATATATACATATAAAAATGTTGGCTAATACTCGAACCTTTACATAGGAAAGGGTTGGCGTTTTCGTAGAATGACTCCGCAGACGGAGAAAAGATTTGATTGTTTGTTATTTGACTATTTGTGGTCTAACCTGTTTCCATAGTTACTGCAGTACTTTTGAAGGGTATTGGACCCCCCTCTGTGCATGTGCCGCAATTCGATTTCTTATCCGACGGAACAGTTTTCTAAGTTGATATTTATGCCTTTAATCCTTCTCCATCGACCTTGTGAGACGTGTGAAAATGGTAATACCTATGCTGAAGAACTGTTTAGTCATTTATGAAAGATTTAAACGGCATATTTTATGTTTGGAGTTGAATACCGTCGAGAAATACGATGTCCTCGAGAGAGGGTTTTCGAAGTGACCAGAGACGAAAGCTTACAGTGTGTACTTTCGCCCCGTGGCCGTCTTGTCTCGAAAGAAAACAAAAACGAAGAAAATATGAAGGACGAACATTGAAAACTTTATATAGCTGCAAATGTGCATGCAAGTTGAGGAAAGTAAAGTGTATGGGCTTGTACCCGGAAACGGACACACCTTTACACGACATAAACATAAATATTCTTTACAAACAAAAGATCAAAAGCCGGCGGATAAAGAGATTTTCGAAAGGCACGTGAAACTTCAAGCTGACCCGCGGCGAATTCGTTACGGCGCGCGTGATATCACGATTTTTATTAGTTTAAAAAATGGTGTCAATCAAGACCGCACATGCGCTTTATCGTGACAGTCCACATAAGTGGATTGTCAGGGATTTTTTCGGCACTGCCTTAAATGGCAGATCACGTGGTTTTAATTTTTTGTCGAAAATAAAACGATTGCTAAATCTGGCAGATGTTTTGGAATATTTGCCCATTTGATAATCGTACGTGCAGTCGACTGTTGTGTTTTAATCAGGGACTCGGTGGACAGAAACATTCATCTTATACTACTTTTCATATTTCTTTGGAAATCCCTGGTAAGATTTCAGATTCTTTTTTATCTAGCAAAACCTTGCGGTTTTTTATGTAGAACGAGTCAAATCAGAAGATTAGGGAACTAGAAAAAACGCAGTGTTGTTGAGACGAGGAATACAGGGTACGTTTACTTGTTTTTCGCAAAAACTAAGCTAGTAAATCCTGAGCCGAAGATAAATTGACTCCGATACCTTTTGTGAGAAAGGAATAGTTAGTGTTAGTTCAATATCGAAACAATGATAGCTAATGACTCTACTGCACAGCTTGAGGTTTCCTCATGTGATCAACTGATTTGACTGATTTAGGCTTTGAATTTCAGCGAAGATTCTCTCATTGAAGCAAGCGTTGCTAACTTTACTGTCTGAAAGAAACGTCAGCGGTGTTCTTGCCATTCTGTGTGTTGCAGACTGTAGATTTGGATGTACTGTGCAAAGTCTAGAAGAGTCTGTACTTCTATAAATCGGTTAAGTAAACAATGGAGTTCTCCCTGAAGTTACTGTGATAGCCTGAAAGTATCTGTGTTTATTTGGAAATGGGAAGTGGCAAATGGCATTGACACGAATTCGTACAAAAAGCGGCCAAAAATAATGATGCAATTACCCAAAAATCTTGAAAATATAAATTGAAAGAGCTTATTCAGTCCGTATGTAGGTAGATTACAAGCTCAACTGCCACTAGCCAACCAGAACCTTCTCCAAAGCAATCATTAGGCTCGTTAATGTAATTTACGTTGCGGTGGGGTTTTTTCCTGTTAGCGGTGATTTTAAGAAAGAAATTGTTTCTGCAAAAAGGAAATTTGATTTGATTGAAAAAGGTAAGTGGTGATTTTTTTTACGCTCGTTACCTGTCAGAGATAGGAGTCAATTTTCTACATCAAAATGGCAAAAATAGGGACAAGTTTCCGTTCTTTTCAATAAACATTTTTAGTTGAGTTCGGCGGTCTTAAGTTTCAAAACTTTGTCTCAGTTTTTGGCTTCTTGGTGTCACTGAGAAACTCAAAATATTTGGTTTTCAAATTAATTTAAGGTTGTTTTCGCAAATTTGATTCACCTGTCCTAAAGGGCCTCGGGGAAGATTTAGGAGATTTATTTAGCAGGTAGGACCGCTCGCAAATGAAGAATTTGCAATAGATATTTCTAACTCCTTTGAAATTTATTATTGCTCAGTTTAAGAAAATATACAATGTCAATTATACTTTGAACTTTGTGAGTTCGAATTAGATTTGGGCAAATAATTTGGATTATTTCCGATTTTCTAATGAAAAAAACTTTTTTTGTGTAAGCTCTTTATTGGGTTTCGCTCCAGCATCTTCTTACAAAAGCACCACGTTTTCCGGCAAGCATTAGGTCTCCACTTTGACTACATATCGAATTCTCAAAATTCGTGCTAAAAGAAAGTAACACGATCAGTTGAGAACATTTCTATCCCAAGTTTTAGACAGAGACGTTAAGTGCTAAATGGGTATCTTAACTGCCACACTAGTCACGACTAAAGTGGAATATCCGAGTGTGTTTTTGAAAATATCATTTACAAACCCTGTGATTCGGAAGTGACTTTTTTTCTTCGCCGACAGTAATTCCTATATTTTATTAATATCACAAACGTTTTCAATGACCCTTGATTAGCATTTCAAAGCTGGAACTTTATGTTTACTGTTAGAACCCGCTCACTGTGGTCAATTGATAATATTCTATACATCAAACTAGACAAACATGCAGTAAATGCACCCGTGTTATTCATTTCGCGCCGCGTTCTGTCTTTTCCATCACTTCAAACAAAAATCATCAGTCTTTTAAATCTAGTAGCCAATCAGACGGATCCTCTGCTTGATGGATTTCTTTTTTCTCGCCTGCACCTGTTATGTTGAAAAAGTGCTAATGCTGATATTGCATTGGAAAATATTCATGATATTCTAATCAGTGTTGACAAGATTCGTTCCACGCAGTGATTAACACGGATCTTCACTTGTTTTTAGGTTGGCTATTTCTTATCCGAAGGCAAGATACTTAAAAAATTTAGAACCGGTGTAGGAGTAAGTATTGTTTGTTTCTGAGGGTTTCAAATAGTGAGGATGATGGTCTTTTCCACCGAAAAAAAAAAAAAGGACACTTTTCACAGAACAGCTGCATGCGAACAGGTCGGATGTTAGGATCTTCCAAAGTCATCGCTATCCTGTTTATTTGTTATAAATGTGCTTTATAAAGTTGGTGTTTCGCGCTTGGCCTTATGCGTCCCACAGCGAGATGAGGACTGGTGGTGTTTTGCGGTTGTATGATAGCCGTCCATTGAGTTTGTCCAGACTTGATCCGAGAACCCAGAAAATCGTGTAAAGCGAGGTGCCCGTATTGGCGAGTGTCAACACTGAACAAAAAATCAATAGCTTCTCACCCTATCTCCTTAGAAAACAGGGATATCGTCTTGCAGTAATACTTCTTCAGGTATTGATCATGCCATGCAATGAGAAAGCCGAACTAGATAGTGAAGCTTGTAGCATCTGAAGATAGATTCAGCCGGTATCTGTTTCGCGATTATCCGGATCAATTCGTTTGATATCTAGATGTCAAATACGTTTGTCTATTGTAGTTGGTTCCGAAAACAAACCTCTTTAAAATAGGTAGCCAGAGATCTTAACAAAGATATTCGTCCGATAATATGCCTGTTTGAATGACAGCCAAGACAATGAACTTGCTTTTAGCTGAAGATCTAGTTTTTACTAAGATTAATCTTTAAAGTCGGGAACTTAAACTTGCAATTCTAAAGCTCTCTTCTCGGGGCTAAGAGCATACCATGTACCTATACATTGTCAACACAGTACAATTAAGAGAGTGGTCTTAAATTGATGACTTGAGAATTTGTCACAATTTTTTAACCTTTTTTTTAGAGTTGTTGCTGTTTTATTTCAAGGGCAGTATCTACTTTAAATGTTTCAGACGCAAATCCTCCTTGTCATATGTTTATTTTGGTATTTTCTTAAGTGTTATTGCTGTTTTAGTTCAAGGCAGTAGCCATTTAGGCGCAAATTCTGTTTGTCATAAATTCTGCTTGTCATATGAATATTGTGTCATTCTTTTTTTGAGTGTCATTTCTGTTTTAGATCAAGGGAAATAGCCGCCTTAAATGCTTCACACGCAAATCCTGCTTGTCATATGTTTATTTTGACATTCTTTTTTGAGTGTTATTGCTGTTTTAGTTATATGGCAGTATCTACCTTAAATGTTCCAGACGCAAACCCTGCTTTCTGGCTGCAGGATTAACCTCGTCATTTTTATACAACCAGAAACTGAACCCAAAAAGGAATCCTTCTGAACAAGTATATTCCCAGGGCTTACCGTCAGAACTGCGCCCGTGTTCAACCTGTAGATGGAAAGTTTAAGGTTTGCTGGAAATTTGCTGTTTTTCCACTTTTGCTTTATGCAGATAAAAAGCATGGACGGCGTGCTGCGTTCTGACAATCAGCTTATTGAAAATTCCAGCACAACGCTAATGGGGAAAGAATTTACGGAACAAACTGACTGGAGTCCAATGGTGGTTTTAATAGCAGTCTTGCTCGGCATTTTGATAACCCTCACCACTGCTGGCAATCTCGTGGTATGCCGCCTTGTTTGGGTTTGTCGACGCATGCAAATCCCTTCATTATATTTTGTGGCGAGTATGTCATTTTCTGATTTCCTCATGGGTTTGCTTGTTATGCCCATCAGTCTGGCATATCATATTAACTACCAAACCACAGGTAAATAAAGATATTATTTTAATCATCATATCCGCACCCATATTTTAGAATCACTATTATAGTTTTACCTTGTAATTTAGTCTAATTTTTCTAACTTTTTCGTAATAGATTTCTTCCTCTTTTTTTTCTGAATTCTACTTGTCTATTGTGTTATTTAGTTCTCGGCACACTAGCATACCCTATTGCTAGAGGCCTAATCAGCCTCACCAACCCGAATATAAATAAGTTAGTGTGTGTGTGTGTGACAGCATACAGATAAGACATTTTTGCTATAATGTGGTTCTCAAAAAACAGGCTAAGAACTGAATATCAACCGATTGCTAGATGTTATTGAACGTGTTAGATGCGAAAACGGTGACGGTTGGCCTTGTGTTTGTCTCCTAGCTATATACGAGGTTCCTATCTAGCTCGTGTTTCCGATTGCCTGAATAAAGATAGATACGCATAATGTGAGTGACGGTGTCTTGCTTAAAAGACCCATCACGAGGAAAAACATAAGGTAATTGGTCATCTAGCCACAAACGCGTTGCCTGATCCTTTCAAAGTGACAAACTTCTTTTATATTTTACGCCACTGGTTTGCATGATTTGTTTGGTCAGCAACAGAGCTCTGAGAGACTCGTGCTACAGTTCTAAAGCAGTTCAATATAGATTCCTGAAACCAGCTTGTAGACCTTTCAAATAGGCCATTTTCGAGGTGCCTTTTGCCTCTGTTTCAAAACGAGTCCTCGAGCAAAACTTTTCTTATGATTATGAGTTTGATTGCCATGAAAATGAACTTACAGATGAAAGCATTTTCATGACAATAGTTTTGCATGAAGACTCGTTTTGACACAGAGGCTAAGGGCAACTCGAAAATGGCCTATTATAACTAAATTCGAAAAAATAAAGATGGCATACAGATTAACCTGAATAAAACTGCTTCCAGTGTTGCGATCGGTGAAAGACATTCTCTAAAACGTTTTAGAGACTGAATAAAACTCTTACTTTGATTTGCTTTATTTTAAGGCCGGTGGATTTTCGGGCATTTCATGTGCAACCTATGGCTATTCTTAAACTTCGTTCTGTGCAGCGCCTCCATTTATAACTTATGTGTGGTCAGCGGAGACAGGTACCTCGCTGTTACGTCACCGTTAAAATACTTGTCACGCATGAACGATCGCAGAGTCAAGCAAATCATTGGAGTCTCCTGGCTCTGTGCATTCGTACTTGCTGGTTTCGTCACGTACGGTACGAACGCTTCTAAGGAAAACGGCGTCAATTGTTCAGTCTGGGGTTTGCGTTACGAATATTCTGTCGTCGTGCTCATCGTGGGGTACATTCTACCGGTGTTTTTCCTTGTCTTTGTGAACGGCAAAGTGTTTGTCATTGCGCATTCCCATATGAACAGAATCCACGCCCAGGAGATGGCTTCAGTTTCAGCATTTACCATTGACAGGCCCAGTCAAGGATCGACCAGCAAAACTGTTCAGAGATCGAGACTAAGGCGTGAGATCAAAATATTCAAAACATTTGTTGTGGTAACATGTACTTTCCTGTTATCTTGGACGCCTTTTGTTGCCATCCTTTTGATCGATTCAATCTGGACTGTGCCAGAACTTCTCAGACATTCATCGATCATTCTTTTATACTGCAACAGCGCTCTGAATCCATTTATATACGGCTTTTACAATGCTGAGTTCAGAAAACTACTTGCTGAAAGCATCAGATGTAAGTGCGCTACACCAGTTAGGAAGATTTTGCCCTCCTAATGGCGGAGACGGCGTGAGCGATGCGAAAGGACAAATAACAGCAACAACAACAATGTAACAACAACAACAACCAAAGTGAATTTATACGCGCAATCACATTAGAACGGTTTTCAAGTGGGTGTTGTTAAACCAAAACCAAACCAGTTACCTATCAATTAATGTACTCCCCCAATCTCAAACCGTAATTACTCAGGCGTCCTACTCAAAAGATATTTTAGCGTTTACGTATATGTTTATCGTTTACGTGTGGACAGGCAGAATACGAAAACGTAAAACGCAATTGCATTGTTTATTTGTTGATATATTTAGTTATTTACTTATTTATATCTGTCTGTCTGTCTGTCTGTCTGTCTGACTGCCTGTCTGTTTGTCTGTCTATCTGTCTGTCTGTCTATCTATCCAGACAAAAGAAAATGAATCCCCTAACCTATCTCAAGTTAAAACATAAGTCCTGACCAAACCCATTAAAGAATTAAGAAAATAATAAAGAAAAGATTAGCAGAAGCACACGTGGGCCTACTGCGGTTTCATTCAGGGCAAATAATTTTGCATGTTCAGATATTGTCTACATCAAAGATGTCATACAAACGAAACGAGACATTCAATGTGAATAGTTTACTGAGGATGCGTCAGTCAGTCATCTGATATAGATGTATCTCGAGGAAAGGTGGCAAAATCAGTAACCTAAAATATCTATAACTATACGCTATACATACAAGTTGTTATAACAAAAGCTTAATAGTAGCAATAAAAGAGGACGAACACGAATACTGACTAGCCTGGAATGACTTAAATGCCTAAATAGACCCTGAACGTCTCATGATTCCCCGCTAGCCTCTCCATCGTGCCGTCAGAATAATGTCTGACTTATTCGTCCCTCCATCGTCAGAAATTACATATCCTTTAATTTCAGTCGATTCTTAAAACTTCAGAGAGAATCGGTATTTTTAATAATATTGGGCACAGAGTTCCACAAGTTAACTATCCTGATTAAAGACAAACCTATTCACAAAGTCATTTGTTAAATGTTTCCTTATGTCTACTTTTTCCTGAAATCTATCCGGTAGCAGTCATGAATATGTATGTAACTTGCCAGCGATCAAAAACGATCAAAAACCAGGCTGAACGCTGCCTCAGAGAAAAATGAAGGGGTTATATGTTACGACGTTTTGGGAACATTATTTACTAGACATTCATACAATCACAATACAATAACAGGGAAATATTAGAATTCGAAAGTACAATCTAGAACGTTTTATGATTATAAACACGACGCAAAAATAAACGAGGATGGTAAAGGAAAACATCAAAGTGGAATACAAATAAAAAACGTGAAAACTTTAAATTTTTTGAAGATGCCATTCGCGAAAAACTGTCAAGCATTGCGCGCACTAGAACCATCGCGACCTCTTTACAATCTTAGCAATTCAACGATCTTTTTCTCCACTCTTTTTCTCGCGCCGTTTTTTATATCAATTGCTCAGGAACCGTCCACCTTTCTTTATTCATGTTATTCCTTACTTATATATGTCAGGAAAATATTCTCACTCTTCGCCGTGTTGCTCGCGCTTGAATGACGCCTGTTGAGGCTGAATCTGATTGGCTTATTACAGCGCGCGCATTTTCCTCTCCTTTGTTATGTCACAACGCGAAACACTTCATTCGAAAACAGAGAAGCGTCTTATTAGCCGTCTCTTTTAAAGCTCGTTAATTTAGTTTTAGAATTTCAACGTAAACAGTGAAAATGGGTTTAAGTTTGAGTTCTTATAAGTTGAAGAGAAAGGAGAAAAAGGATTACAAAAGGTAAGTGAAATCTTATGGTGCTCAATCAAGTCTTCCTGTACCATAACATAAACTGTTTTACAAGTATTCCCTGGCAGCCCATTTGAATTTTGTGAACTACAGTATCTAGTATTTGAAAATTATGTTAACGAGTAGATAACGAACTCTTTTCGTCAAACAGAAAGTTAATAAAGCAGTTAAAAGAAGCAGAGGAATGTCTAACTCGTCTCCAGGAACAACTGCAACTTGAAAATGAGTAAGTTTGTTTATAGTGTGTTCGGCTTAAAGACTGGGGCGGCAATTGTAACTACATAAAACTATGAAAAGCATTTCTGTGTTTATGTTTCTCTTTCTCTGTTTGTTTTTCGTGAAAAAGTCATTCTAGACTGATTGCAGTCAGTTGCTCCCAAGAAGCGAGTTGTAGACAAAAAGGAACTGGGAAGAGAAAAGGGTTCGGCGCACACGAGAAGAAAAACCTCCGCTTTAATCCCTTCTCGCTCTTTTTGCGTTTACCGTTCGCGAGGATGAACACTCGCCTGACTCTTAAAGAAACGGTCAATTGCAGTTAGTCTGAAGTCACTCTCGTTACCAGAGCTATTCGATTGTTTTATTCCAAGGCCTCGTTATTTAAGAAAATCGTGGGACCCTGTTGAGGATAATGAGAAAAAGTGCGGGAACAAGTCCGAGCTCTAGTTTAGAAAATGATCTCCTCGCTTCTGTCTTATCATTTGTAGGAAAGTGAGAAACTCTTCTCCAAAAGAAGAGAAAAATTTTCATACCCTAAGATGTAAATGCCCAGTTTAGTAAAAAGAGATTCTCTTTCTTTTTGTTTCTGTAGGTTGCTCGATCAATACCAAAGCTGCCTCCACGCTGACTCGATTCCTGACATTGAGACAGCCAAAGCAGATAGCATAGTGGCTGAAATGGAGGAAGAGGTTCAAGCTTTGGAGCGAAAGCTTTTCCTTGAGGAAATTGCAGTTAATATTACGGACGAGAGATGTAATTTTCTAGACAGGAACTTCAGGTAAGCCTATGTTTCTACTAAATCATTTAACCTTTTATTTTAAACAACATACTGATGGCCTTATGACAACCTACGGAGAAACAAAAAACGGGATAAAGAAATGGCGGCCGCACAAATTTGGGTACAATGTGCTTCCCAATCTTACCCAGCCGCTAATCAGCTTGATGATACTTTTTTTTAATTTACAAGTAGAAACACAATTAAAACCTACTTGATATTATTTGTCTGCTTTGTCACGCATTACTTCCTTTAACGTCGTCGGCCGGAAAGTTACCCAAGTTTTTTGTTTTTATTTCTTAAACTTTACCAGGTTGTAAAGTTACCAAAGGTTAATTGCCTAACTTTTATGTTTCTATTTCTTTACAGACTTCTCCATGACAATGAAATTAGCCTTCATAGGCAGAGTTCAGTCTGTGAAACAGACCTGGCAGCATTAAAACTAAAACAGGAAGCTTGTCAGTTTGGTCATTTTCTACAAGCAAATCCAGTGGAAGAATGGACTGTCTGCTCTCTTCCTAATCTTTACTTCAGAGACTTGTGATCTGGAAGTCTTGTGAACTTGCTAGTAAAAGCAAAGGAAATGCATTACTAGTGTACAGTTTCAAAAAGTTGTAGGGAGAAGATCACTTTGCTTTATTTTGATGTAAATGTGTATATAGTACTTCATTAAATATCAGTTCAGTACGACGAATTATAAAAGTGTTTCTTGTGTGTCACTGAGTACAGTTCAACTTGTACAGATACAGGTTCTATTGAAGAGGCTTAATTATAGAAGCCCAGAAAAGAAAAGATGGACTAGACTTGTTCTATGATGATTGTTTGATCAAGTATTTCATGAAGATGGGACATTTTTGACTTGCACTCGGCACACACGAAGTGAAAACATTACACTTTTCACATGTGTAAACTGGCGCTGGCTTAATGATGGAAAAAGGCAATCCCTCAAAATTTTACCGAGTGATAAGAATTCAGTTTGCTAGTTCAAAAAGAATTTAAACATCTTTGTCATAAAAATCGTAACAATCAAATTCGCGCAAGTCTAGAGGTGGAAATACTTAAAGTCTCAAAGATTATATGTCAACAAGGTCCTGAATTTGCTGGCAGATTAACCAAGAGTATTCCCTGATACCGTATTCTGATGTGAATGAATAAAAAATATATTTGGTCATTTGTGATAGCCTAAGGTCTTGTACACACTGAGTACTTTGTCAATTTTGTGACCTGTGATAACGCGTTCTTTTTGTTCGCGGTGGCGTAAGAGTCCACCTAAGTAAAAAGAACGCCTGATAGCAGGTCATTTATTTTATTTTTCTCAATGTAGGTGTTCAGCAGGGGCCCATAAGCCACAAGCTTCTGTTCGAATTTTACCCGACTACATTCTCGTCCCTGTTTCCTCTTGTCGTACGTTATAACCTAAAGAACAAGTTTGTCATGTTTTCAGACCTTTTTCCAGTTGTCCTGTCTATGACGGATTTATTTTAGACGCCATGTTAGTCCACTTGTTCTTTAATGCCACTGAATATATCACGAGGAGCCATCTATTTTGCCGAGTTGTTTCATGAATCAAACCTAAAAGTAATTTGGCCAGAACCTGGTTGCCTCCTCCACTAGTAGAAGGTTATTCACCTGCTGGGCCAATATCACCAATTGACACCGCTAAGCACGCTCTGTGCTTGGGCTTGTGGTTCTTTGCATCAAGTCTCTTTTCGAAATTACCGGGCAAAGGAATCTTAGAAAATTAAATTTTCAATATTTTGGGCAGAAAGCTTCGAGCCATAAATGACTACGTCATCGGAAATCCAGCTGAATTTTGACCAATGCGCATCCAGTATTGAAAGCAGACCGTGTCAGTCCTGGGTACAAATCTAAAATTGAGCCCGCAATTCCTAATGGGATTAGAAGTGACCAAAATGGCGACATTTTCAGCTTGTCACAACACTTTGGTTCCAAACTTTCTGTGTTTTTTTGCCAAGAACATGGAAATATGATAAAAACTAATAAGTTACTAAGGCTTAAAACCAAAACTGGCCGACTGCTTGATGTTGTGCGGGAACACTACCTGCGACAGGACGTCCCTTGCCATAGTGAAGTTTGTACTGTGTGCGAACAAGGTTAGGCATGATGTTATAGGTGCGGACTGTAGATTCGTTTGTTTCACTTCTTTGTGTGTTATTCATTGCCCGACATATCTGCAGGTAATGGAACCCAGCTTTCCTCGTCACTGACTCATTATGTTGTACCAGACTGCCAGGTGAGCTGTGCTGCTAACTGTAAACAAATATTGATAGTTTTGCTGCAGAGCCAGACATAAGCTTACGTAGTACGATAGCAAAGTAATATCTTCAACTGTAGTCGTTAAAAATTATTTCAGGTTACAAGGCTGTTCCTGGAATTATTCGAGAATGCAGAAATCCAAGGAGTGATTTTCCTTCAAACTGTTGTCAGTTTTGTAAGTGTACTGCATTTACATTGTAGAGATGAGTTTGTACGTTTTATTTAAAACTTCAGTTTTTTTATATGTTATTGATTATTTACAACATTTCAACCTTTATTGATAAATAAAAACTGTGTGGTCATCCAACCTAACTTTTTATAAATAGTTCAAGACCCAGTTTTGGCCTGGATGTATTACATACTGTGCATCATTGGAAAACGATAGAAACCTCACTATAAGGGGAAACCAAAACAATAATAGATGCACAAAAGGTGTAATGGTCAGAACTGGGTCTAAAATAAAATAGAAAATATATAAGGACACACAATTTATGATATTAACAGTAGAAAATCTTGCACGCACGTTGGCCAATTTTCATTGTCAATAAGCGGACAGACACATGAATTTATAATTTATGTGATGTGTCAACAAGCGACAGTGGACAATTTGACAATTTCTTATTGTAAAAATTAATCTGACGTCAGTTTTTCATGCGTGTGTCCTTTCATTGACGATGAATTTCGTCATAACATTGTCAAAGTTAAGTCTGCGGATCCACTCAGCTATGGTCTCGTGGATCCACAGCTACTTTGACAATGTTGTGACGAAATTCATGATCAATAACTGGACAGACGTGTGAAAAACTGACGTCAATATTATTTGTTAATTAGAACGTAAGAGGATATCAAATATAAAAGGCTATTTAGGAATTACACTTCAAGGCTGAGTTTCTGTATGCATGAGTGAATGGTCAGCAAGATGACTTGACTATTGTTCATAGAAAACTAGGTAGAGACATGGTGGCTCTATGGTTAGTGCAGTTGTGTTGTGTTCTTGAGTAAGACACTTTGCTCTCACAGTGCCCCTCTCCACCCAAGTATATAGAGGGGTACTGGTGAATTGAATGCTGGGGGTANATTCATGATTTTCCCAAGGCTACTACTAAGCTATTTCAAGGCTGGTTAAAAAAACAGTCAGGTAACACACATAGTCCTTGAAAAATAATGGGTCTCAGCAAATTTTCTGCAAGTCTTGAAATCTTGGCATCTAAAACTGGAGTTTCTTAATCTTGAGCTCTTAAAGTGCAAATGACATGAAAATAATTTCTGCTTATTTGGAAGACCTTTCAAAATACAGAAGAATGGCATTTTTCTTTTTGAAATATCTTTTTTTTGTTTTAGAGGTATTGACGTTTTTCTATTATGCAAATTAGATCAGTGATGACGTCATATTGTTTGCAACTAAGAATGGTAAAATACTGAATAAACAATATCTCTGGAAATATTGAAGCAGTGTTCTTGAAACTTGCAGGGCTGGAAATAACAGTCGGTCATCGGACATTGTCCGACCAAATTTTGAATATGTCAGGCCAATTTCACATTTTGATCGGACATGATGTCTGAACATTTCACCAACACCTATTGTCCATCCATAAAATTTGGTTATATAACTTGTTAAAAAGGCTCGAAGTTGCGACCGGTAC